TTATCATTTAAGGGTAAAAAATAATTATCATTTTAACTTTTGAGCATATTATATACATACGTATGGCTGTTTCAATTTAATTTGTAAAAAATTATTTCTAACCACTCAAAAGATAAAAATTACATAAAATGATAATTATTTTTTATTTTTATAAAGAATAGTTTTTTTTTAATTATAAATGGTTGTCTCAGTTTGTAAATTTGAGGAAACACCGTAAATTTAAAAAATGAGCTTACGTTGGTTTTTAAACTGAAATTTAAAAATTTTACTAACAAATTTTTTTTTTCAATTAATTTTTTTTCAAATAAATTTTTTTTCAATGAATTTTTTTTCCCAACTAATACTAATTGAAGTGGAAATTGGTAATGCTACTTTAAACCTTAGGGAGGGGATTGTAATTTCTAAAATGTGAGGGGTGTCAATGTAATTTACCTAGTGAGGGAAAAATTGGTATTTAAAAAAATTAAATTGTTGAGGGGGAGAATCTGTAATGAAACTTTAAACCTCAGAGAGGAAGATGTAATTTCCAAAAGGTAATGGGGGGAACTATAATAAACATAAACCTTAGGGGATGTCAGTGTAATTTACCCTTAGAAGTATTAGGTCGGAAAAAACTGAAATTTTTGTAGTGTTTCACCCATTTTTTTCATCTTCTCTGTCTCTCTGTCTTTCTGTCTCTCTCTCTCTCTCTGAAATTTACCCTTAGAAGTATTAGCTCGCAAAAAACTGAATTCGAATCGGGACTCGAATCGGGCACGAGAGACATGTGGCGGCCATTTTAATGGGCAGAAAACGACCGCCAAGGTTTTACAATGTGAGTTCTACTAGTCCTCTATCTTCAAAGATGCCCATAATTTCTGTAGAGCTTGTGAGTGTTGTCAACGCATGGGCTCTATGTCACGGTGAAATATGATGCCGATGACCCTTATTCTGATTGTTGAGATTTTTGATGTTTGGGGCATCGACTTCATGGGCTGCTTTCCACCATCTTTTGGATTTGAATACATTTTGGTGGATGTGGACTATGTCTTTAAGTGGGTTGAGGCAGTGGTCACCAGAACGAATGACCACAAAGTTATGGTTAAATTCCTCCATGAAATCATTTTTTGTTGTTTTGGGTTCCTGCATGCCATAATTAGTGACGGTGGCAAACATTTTTGCAATCGATTCTTCTAGGCATTAGTGTGCAAATACATGATCACTCACAAAGTTGGCACTCCCTATCATCCCCAGACTAGTGGTCAAGTAGAGGTTTCTAATAGGGAGGTTAAACACATCCTCGAGAAAACTGTGAGACCCGATAGGAAAGATTGGTCTACCAGGTTGGTTGATGCACTTAGGGCCTATCGCATTGCATATAAGACACCCATCGGGATGTCTCCATATAGGATTGTGTTCAGGAAACCATGCCATCTCCCTGTTGAGTTAGAACACCGGGCTTTGTGGGCCATTAGGAAGTTCAATTTTAATATGGCCAAAGCCGGTGACCACCGGAAACTCCAACTTAATGAGTTAGAGGAGCTTCGCAATGATGCATATGAGAGCTCCAAAATTTACAAGGCTAGGACTAAGGCATTTCATGATAGACACATTTCTCATAAGTCGTTTGAGCCTCACCAAAAAGGGTGGCTGTTCAATGCCAAATTACGTTTGTTCCCGGGTAAACTCCGGTCTCAGTGGGATGGCCCATATGAGGTTATTAAAGTCTTTCCGCATGGGGCTGTTGAGATTAAGAATCTACAAGATGGTACGACCTTCAAGGTCAATGGCCAAAGATTGAAACATTTTGTGGATGGTATTGAGAAAGGGGAGATGATTGAGGTTATCCACTTGACGGACCCAATATATCTTCCATAGTAATTGCTTTGAGTCTAGGAGACTTTAAATCCTCTAAAGGTGTAATTCCTTTGGTGTTTTCCGTGCCCGAACGGAATCTAATGGTCTGGTATAGCCACCTAATTATATTTGTAGTGAGTTCATAGGAGACCAATTGAAACGGTGGAAACTAGAGTTCGAATGGCAAAGCCTATAACGAAAATGCTTGAAATTTCTGAGACTAAAGTCTGGTTTAAATACCCAAAGATGTGGAGATTGCTTCAAAACCACCTCGGCTTGAACTTTGTATGGCAGCCCCATAGGTCGAGTTAGCTTTATGCACCTCGATTCTGGATACCGAATTAACCTAGTCTATCACCCTTTTGGAGAATAGGGAAAGTTACAAATATTGTTCGGAAGAAAAGTAGTACCTATGGTTTTTGCGTGAAGATTATACCATTATTGAACATTTAGTTTTTTTTTTGAAATGCCATATTTATTTCAGATGTGAAATGAAGGTAGAATTGGTTTGAAAAGTTTTTGGATTGTAATTGGGGTTTAAAAAAAATTTTACAACAGATCGCACGTGTGGCCCAAATGAGCGCACGAGTGGAGAGTCCATGCATGGGCGCTCGAATGAAGGGCCAGGCCGCTTAGTGGCCCAAGCCCAAGAGCACACTGCGCAAGCGCTGCTAGAGCGGCCCAATTCCGCCGCTGGAGCCAACCAAAATTCAATGTTCGTGCGGCTCAAATGGCACACGAGAGGTCCATGTCCATCCAAATAAAATAAAATAAAATATTTGAGCGCACGAGCGGAGGCCCAGGATGCACGAGTGGCCAAGGCCCAAAAGCCTACTGCTTTCACGCCGTTGGAATGGCCTAATTCTGCCGCACAAGTGGCCTATAATTCACTGCACGTGCTGCCCACATAGGCGCATGAGCGGCCTACTTAAAAAAAAAAAAAAGAAACGGGCAAATTCTTTATTATATTGACTTATTTTTTTATTTCTTCAAAAAAAAAATAAAAATAAATTTGACTTCATTAAGCCAAACCCTAGACCCACCTTCACCATCACTTTCCAGTTATTTTCTCTCTCTACCTCTCATCATCTTCTTTGCTCACTCGCTCTCTCTCTCTCTCTCTCTCTCTCTCTCTCTCTCTCTCTCTCTCTCTCTCTCTCTCTCTCTCTCTCTCAGCCTCTGATTTTATTTTATTTTTTATTTTACTTTATTTCTCCTTTTATATTCTGATTTATTTATTTATTTTTATTTTTTCTTCTATATTCTGATTTTATTTTTTATTTTTTATTATTTGATTATATAATTTTAATAATGTATATTTGTTAATTTTATTATAGGAACAAATTTTTTCACATAATTTTATAATTATAATAAATAAAATTAATTATATATACTGAACGTGTCCCCAGCGTGTCGTGTCCCCTATTTTTTGAAAGTTAGCGTTTTTGTCTTTTGCGTGTCGTGTTCTTGTCATGTGGCGTGTCCGTGTCCGTGGTTCATAGACTGCACAATTCGCGAATCCTGCCATAGGAAGGAAGATTTGAATGGGGCGTTGAATTTGATGCTGTTTTTTTTGTAATACGAAATGAAATGACCTGTCCATTGCATTTCCTTGCGCAATGAAAAAGGTATTACTATTGGATTTGATCACCCCATACAAAAGAAAGGTAGCTGAGATTGGATCCAATCTTAACAGAAGCTTTGTCTCCTTAACCTCATCCACTGTGCAATTAATCCATCCATCGGGAAACTAGCAGAAATAGCGTGGCACATTTATTGCAGCATTATTGAGCCACCTGCGCAAGTGTAAAAGATGTTAAAAACTACACAAATTTTACACCAATACCATTTCCAACTTTATTTCAAATACAATGCTATCATAATTTAGTACATCTTGTAAAATGTTTCAGTATTTTTTGAAACAAAAACAGATGCCCACCAAGTTTTGGTTTATAGTTTTTAAATTTTCTATAAAGGTAACATAAAAATGTATACATAAACTTTGTGATCATTGTGTACTCACCGCCAGTGATCAGTGGGTGTCGTCCTTTTCTTGGGACCTTGAGGTGTCTTCTGGTTGTGACCTTGACCTTGGGGTCGATTTGTAAATAAGTAAAAACAGATCAATATCTGGCCAAATCTGCTTCGATTAGAACAGAAACAGAAAAGAAAGGGTGGGAAATAGGGGACCTGGTCGATTTGTCGTTCGTCGTTCATCTTTGCTTCTAGTCGGTCGTCGCTCCTCGTCGGACGTCTCTCGTCGGTTGTCACTCGTCACTCATGTCTCATCGTTCCTCATGAAGGTACACACTGCACTTTTTGGATCTTCATTGTTCTTCTTGTTCGATCTTCATTCTTCTTCGTCTTTCCCTCAGTTGCTCTCTCTCTCTCTCTCGGCCTCTTGTCTGATCTTCTTTCTTCGATCTCTCTCTCTTTCTCTCTCTCTCTCTCTCAGCCTCCGATTTTATTTTATTTCTCCTTTTATATTCTGATTTATTTATTCATTTTTATTTTTTCTTTTATATTATGATTTTATTTTATTTTAGTTTTTCTTTTCTTTTATTTTTTCTTTTATATTGTGATTTTATTTTTTCTTTTCCATTATTTGAGTATATAATTTTAATATTGTATATTTCTTAATTTTATTATAGGAAAAAAAATTTTTGAATAATTTTATAACATATAATAAATAAAATTAATTATATATATTGAACGTATCCCCAGCGTGTCGTGTCCCTTATTTTTTGAAAATTTGCGTTTCCGCGTGTCTGTGTCTTGTCGTGTCGCGTGTCCGTTTTCTGCCCGTGCTTCATAGACTGCACAATTCGCGAATCCTGCCATAGGAAGGAAGATTTGAATGGGGCGTTGAATTTGATGCTGTTTTTTTTGTAATACGAAATGAAATGACCTATCCACTGCATTTCCTTGCGCAATGAAAAAGGTATTATTATTGGATTTGATCACCCCATACAAAAGAAAGGTAGCAGAGATTGGAACCATTCTTAACAAAAGCTTTATCTCCTCAACCTCATCCACTGTGCAATTAATCCATCCATCGGGAAAGTAGTAGAAATTGCGTGGCACATTTATTCCAGCATTATTGAGCCACCTGTGCAAGTGTAAAAGATGTTAAAAACTACACAAATTTTACACCAATACCATTTCCAACTTTATTTCAAATATAATGCTATCATAATTTAGTACCTATGAAGCACGGACACCTCTCCGAGGGCTCTGTACTAGTGTTAGACACGTGTCGGACATGGATAAGCGTCGGACATGCGGTGGACACGTGTCCGACACGCACCAGAGAGTGTCCTATTTTTTTTTTTTTTTTACGTCCGGACACGTTCAGGACACGTTATAGACACTTTCGGGACATGTTAGGGGGTAATTTCAGAATTTACAAAAAACGTTTTGGGTCGATTTGTAAATAAGTAAAAACAGATCAATATCTAGCCTAATCTACTTCGATTAGAACAGAAACAGAAGAGAAAGGGTGAGAAAGAGAGGACCTGGTCGATTCGTCATTTGTCGTTCGTCTTCGCTTCTCGTCGGTCGTCGCTCCTCGTCGGACGTCTCTCGTCGGTTGTCACTCGTCACTCATGTCTCGTCATCCCTCATGAAGGTACACGCTGCTCTTTTTCGATCTTCATTCTTCTTCTTGTTCGGTCTTCATTCTTCTTCTTGTTCGGTCTTCATTCTTCTTCGTCTTTCCCTCAGTCTCTCTCTCTTTCTCTCTCTCTCTCTCAGCCTCCGATTTTATTTTATTTCTCCTTTTATATTCTGATTTATTTATTCATTTTTATTTTTTCCTTTATATTCTGATTTTATTTTCTTTTAGTTTTTCTTTTCTTTTATTTTTTCTTTTATATTCTGATTTTATTTATTTTTTTTGTCTGTTATTTGATTATATAATTTTAATAATGTATATTTGTTAATTTTATTATAGGAAAAAAAATTTTAAATAATTTTATAACATATAATAAACAAAGTTAATTATGTATATTGAACCTATCCCCAGCGTGTCGGGTCCCCCATATTTTGAAAATTTGCGTTTTTACGTGTCCGTGTCGTGTCTGTGTTGTGTCGCGTGTCCGTGTTCGTGTTAGTGCTTCATAGACTGCACAATTCGCGAATCCTGCCATAGGAAGGAAGATTTGAATGGGGCGTTGAATTTGATGCTGTTTTTTTTGTAATACGAAATGAAATGACCTATCCTTTGCATTTCCTTGCGCATTGAAAAAGGTATTACTATTGGATTTGATCACCCCATACAAAAGAAAGGTAGCTGAGATTGGAACCATTCTAACCAGAAGCTTTGTCTCCTCAACCTCATCCACTGTGTAATTAATCCATCCATCGGGAAAGTAGCAGAAATTGCGTGGCACATTTATTGCAGCATTATTGAGCCAACTGCGCAAGTGTAAAAGATGTTAAAAACTACACAAATTTTACACCAATACCATTTCCAACTTTATCTCAAATATAATGCTATCATAATTTAGTACCTATGAAGCATGGACACCTCTCCAAGGGTTCCGTACCAGTGTCAAACATGTGTCGGACACGGACACGCGTCAGACACGCGGTGGACACATGTCCGACACGCACCAGAGTGTGTCCCATTTTTTATTTTTATTTTTTTTACATCCGGACAAGTTCAGGACACGTTATAGACACTTTCGGGACACGTTCGGGGGTAATTTCAGAATTTTCAAAAAACTTTTGTTGTCGATTTGTAAATAAGTAAAAACAGATCAATATTTGCCCTAATCTACGTCGATTAGAGCAGAAACAGAGGAGAAAGGGTGAGAAAGAGAGGACCTGGTTGATTCGTCGTTCGTTGTTCCTCTTCGCTTCTCGTCGGTCGTCGCACCTCGTCGGTCGTCAATTGTCACTCGTGTCTCGTCGTCCCTCATGAAGGTACACGCTGCTCTTCTTCGATCTTCATTCTTCCTCTTGTTTGATCTTCATTCTTCTTCGTCTTTCCCTCAGTCGCTCTCTCTCTCTCTCTCTCT